TTTATAAAGTCTTTTTCTCTTTAGTTCTGGAAAGAACTTTGTGCATTGTACTATCAGAGACCTAACCCAGTGCTTTTTAAGGGTATTTCTAATTATTTAACACTTCTTGGTACTCTAAGAGAAAAAAATAGTGTATCTTGCACATTTATGACAAATATAGCATACACACACACACACACACACACACACACACACACACAGAACTGGGCTTTTATTGGGGCAGATCAAAGAAAAATGGATATTTACTGTTAGTAAGTGAGTATGTATGGAACACAACCAATAAGAAGAACCAATGAAAAGGGCTCTTGAGCCAGGTGTGGTGGTGCACGCCTGTAATCCCAGCACTTGGGAGGCTGAGGCAGGAGGATCACTGTGAGTTCAAGACCAACTTGAGCTGCATAGTGAGTTCCAGGTCAGTCTCAACTACATAGTGAGACCCTGTCTCAAAAAACCAAAAAAAAACAAAAAAAACAAAACAAACAAACAAACAAACAAAAGGCCTCTTAAATGTTGCCACTATGAACTAGTTTTTTTTTTTTAATGATCTTTAAAAAAATTCTTCCCATTGGCCAAGTCTCAGAGAAGTATTCATGAACAAAGACAGTGGCAAGAAACTGAAGACACAGGCTAACTGGGAAAAGGAAACCATTTCAAAGGACTCCTGCTTGGTGAGGATTGTGAGAAAGGTGGGAAACCACAGAAGAGGACTCCATTACCATCTGCAGAAGGGCTCTGGGGTCTCTGCCACTCTCTGTGACTGGGTAAAGCAGTTTCCAAGAAGAATAATTCTAGGAGGGCACCATGGCATGGGAGAGCCAACTGAGTGCTTGGTTCGGTGTTAGAAGGGGTGTGAACCTCACAGTCAAGTTTCAGGTATCTCGACTCATGGAGAACAGTATTGACAGCTCTGAGGAATGCAGGTGGCAGCTGGCTGCAGAAGAAAGTGATTAGGTTTTGATCTCTGGGGAAGAAAGAAACCACAAACATGTGGCTGTGTGTTTTTTTATTTTGGGGGTTTTTGGGGGGTACGGGGGATCGAACTCCAGGCCTTACACTTATGAAGCAGGTGGTGGAACCACTGAACTAAATCCATGGCCCTAAGGTTTTGATCAGACTGCTAACACTCCCTGGACCGTACAGGGACTCTGGGGTGTCTCCTGCATCCTATGAAGACAGCTCAGCTCAGTTTTAGGTTTGTCTATTAGCAAGGCTCCATCTCACTTCTCCAAAACACCTTCATCCTCAGCCACACTTCGACCCACTAACAAGCCTGCTAATGAGGGAAAAATAAGCTGCCTGGCTTCCCACAGGGGGAAAGAGAAATTTTAATAGCAGGTTCCAGTTACAGACACCTGCTGCCCATCATCACTTTCCAACCTGGATCTGGTGATAGAAACTCCAGCAAAGCCCACAGGGAAGGAATGGAGGCTGCAGACTGCATTATGCAGGCTGCCCTGCCTAATTTAAGACAAATAAATAAATAAATAAAATTCATCTGCTTTCAGAGATGGGGTAGAGCCTTCCCAGAAATGCAAAGCTCTGAGAGAGCTAAAGGTACACCGATTCCCCAGGGCGTCACTGAATAAGCTGGAGACGGGGAAGTTTTTTTTGCCCAGTGCACATAGCATTGGCCAAAATGAGAACATCACTCGCCTACACCTGTTTATGACAAACAAGAGAAAGAATGATACTGCACTTGAGATTGGGAACTGCCAGGGATCCTGCTCTGTCTCACCAAGTGTGCGGCTCTTGATCTGGGGCACACATACCCCAGCAATGGGGAAAAGAGATAGACATGGATTCTCACAAAACCAGATGAAATGTGCTAAGGGACACAGAAGGCACACACTGAGGGAACACATGGTGGGCACATGGCTGAAGGGGACAGGGCGAGTCAGGGAAAGCTTCTCAGGAATGACACTGTTAAGTTTTTCTTATAGGATACAAGGTTGGTAGAGAGGGAAGGGGATTTGGAGTAGCCAGAGGACAACAGCCCTTCCTGGCACCAAGAGAATGTCACAAGTGATAAGCTGGGCAGGTAGGCTCGGGTCACACTACAGCAAGTCTTGGGTGCTGGCCTGCTTGTTAAAGCCAACTAATGTAATCTGTGATGACAGATGGGTGGGTCACAGGCAGGGAGGTGACTGGGGCACTCCTGTAATAGACTAAAGGAGTGGTAGATTACACACTGAATACATAGGTAAGAGGTCCTGAGCTGTATACTTAATTTTACTATATGTAAGTGACAGCTCAGAAAAGCACTTTAAAAGGCCCAAGGGAGACCGCCAGCCTGTTCCAGAGCATGGGGGATGGGAGTAGTTAGGAGAGGACAGATACACAAGAAAATCTTTCCCTTTAGCTACTTCTCTTGGTCAGTAATCAGGGCTCCCTCCCAGGATGCTCCCTCTAGGAGGACTTCATGATGCCGCTGACCAAGCAAGGGAGCCAGAAGCAGAGGGTGCTGACCCTAAAGAGTATGGTTCACAATTTGCCTGTTTGATTTTACAAAGGAGGAAAGCGAGAGCCAGAGGGGCTGTGCTTTTTCCAGGGTCCCCTGGCTAGTTTGGAGGAAAAAGCCCTAGGTTTGTACCCTATTCCAAATTTCTCTACACCACTGTGGCCAAAAACCATGAAGGAATTTGAATGAATGACACAATTCTGAAGCTGTTAAAAATTAAATGTTAGATGATTAAAGCATGGTGAATGCTTAGGGCCTATGAAGTGTTAAAACAGATCATCAAGTAATATGTACACGGCATCCTGGGCTGGGGATGTACAGAGCTCAGTGGTAGAGCACTGGCCTAGCATGCTCAGGGCCCCAGGTTTGATCCCCAGTATCACGAAAACCAAACAAGACAAAACAAAACACCACAAATACAAAGCAAACTACACACTGATTCTATACAGGGCACACATTGTATATGAAGAAGATAAAAACCACAGAGATGATCACCAAAATAGCAATGCTATGTTATCTTTCAGTAGAATTACAGATGATTTTTGTGTGCTTTATTTTCTATTTTTAAAAAGTAGAAATATATTAATCTTTTTATGCAGAAAAAAATGAAGATCTGCATCATAATCTAGAATTTTCTCAGTTCAGGACTGAGCTTTGGTCTGCATGTTTTACTAAAAGCAAACACTTCTTGAGAACAAAAAACAAATCGCTAGGCAAATATTGATCTGTTGCTAAGTGAACAAGAGGCATATCCTCCCACTGAAGCAAAGTTTTTCTCCAGACAGAAAAAGATTCACTTATGATGTAGCTTTAGGTCAATCATCTTAAAACAGATTTAAAACTGACTTTAACGCTAAGTGGGGCGAAAAGGAAGAATCCCTATTCTTGTAGCAAGCTTTCAATGTTCACCTCTCATCAACTAGTTCCCTGCTGCAGAGCAGCGAGAGGTTATGCTCTGATTTGCACCTAAGTTGTAAAAACCAGCTGCTTGCAGTCAGGGCTACTGAATGAGAACAGCAGCTCACTATCAATCAGTTTGCTGAACCTTCCAGCCTGGGTGAGTGCTTGTGAGGCTGCAGACGGGCTTTGTCCTAGGAAAACAGCTTCAAAGTCCCAAGAGAAGCACTTTTACCCTGGACAGACATTTCCTGCTCTCAGTTTCAAACACATGAAAGGCCACTGTGGAAATGTGGCAAGCGACAGAACATCAGAGGGCAGTGGCTTCAGCCAGACTGGTGGACACAGAAAGAGGTCACTCGGGGATTGAAGGCCACCAGGAGGCCCGCCCTGCTCACGCCTCTCCTCTGGGCTGGCCTCTTTCTGCTCAGCCTCAGCCCCTGCACCACCCCCCAGAAAGCACCTTGTCCTCTTCGCCATGGATGAAAAGGGAAGCTGGCTCCAGTTTGCCGTAAGCTTCCCTCTGCTATTCCCAGTTTCCTCATTCTTAAAATGACAGGAAAAATGAATTCAACCTTTACATTTTTAAGAGAATTAAATGGCAGAATATCATTTCAGATGCAATGATATGGGCAGGAGAGAGCAACATGGAAACATTTTGCCAATGTGCTACATGAATACAGGATACAGTTAATCCTATTATTAGACTCTATATTAGCAATAAGATGCTAGTTAAAAGTGGGAGAGAAAGAATCCCTTTGCCCTCTAGTTGTTCATCAGTTCAAGCCAGAGGGAACTGGCTGCTTACCTAATGCTCTGACATGCTTTTGAGGGCTGGTCCTATAAATCAAAGGGATACGCCTTGGAAGTAAATAGTTGGGGGAAAAACATCTTTTCAGGCCCATCTGAAACCACAGCTAATTCCTAAGCAACATCAGCTCTCCTTTAACCTTGCCCCAGCACCCTCCTCATCCGGGCTTCACCAGGCGGGTGGGTGATGCTGGCCAGTGGCCAGACTCAGCACTGAAGCCACCAGCACACAGGTGGATGTCACGTTCCACTCCCAGCCTTGACCTCCAGGGAGATGAAGACAGATAGGGACTCTCTTCTATCCCGGGAGGAGGCTGGGTCATCTCAACAGAAGTCACATGGCACCGGGTCAGCACCTCAGGCTCATCGACAACGGGTGCAGGGGAGAGGAAGAAGCAAAAGGAGACTGTGGGAGTCAATGTTTCTAGTTATTTTTAAAAAGAAAATAAGAAAAAGAGGTAAGAATGACTACTCCTCTTCACAAGGTCCTTGTTGTGGATCAGGACACCATACTATGGAAGACAAGATGTTTCCAGGCAACAAAGATTTGATTCTGTCTCACAGGCTCTGGAATTTAAACACCGGGCTACCACCAGAACTGGCTGTTTTAACACCACAGAGGTCATCCTTTCTTCAATGCCTTAAGGACACAATATGGGAAGGTTCTTTTTTGGAGGACAGGGGAATGCTGGGGATTGAACCCAGGACACAGTGCATGTTAGGTAAATGCTCCATCATTGAGCTGCCCCGCAGCCTGAGCAGGTTCTTTTCTGAACACCACCCAGAGGCAAACAGGTCAGCAGATGGGCATATGCAGGGCACACGGTCTACTCACTCTTTGGTCAGAAGGGGACAGGACTTGAGCAGGAAGCGTGACAGCCCTGAGTCCTGGAAGTAGAGGTCAGGTGGGGCTGTGGGGCTCTTCAGGTTCAAACACCGGACAATCACGTATAACACAGCAGCCACTGCAGCCAGTTTCACCCCGTCAAACACGGCCGGGAGCTCGGGAGTATCCATCATAGCATTCATCTTGATCTGGGGGAGCAGAGGACAGGTCTGAGGAGGGGTAGAGCGCGCCACATGACAGAAGCACATCCTCCTGTGAGCAGGACACATGCGTGTCCACAGGAAGACACCATCAGCACCTTACAACTGCCCATGCACCAGCAGCCAACCAATTACAAGCACATAGCCCTGGGTGCTCACAGATGGCGCCCAGCATGGTTTTTTCTCTAATTTCATGAGCATTTCCAAGATAAGCAAATTGGAAAATGCTGGCAACTGTGTCTTTCTGAGCGTAGGAAAAATGACTAGTGAGAAAGGCAGGTGTAGGACTGGGGGCAATATGCTGACTTCTGTGAACAGGCCACCTCAAAGCTCTCTGCACACTTAATCTGCATCTAGAGCAGCAGGTGTGTGTTAAGTGTTGTGTTTACAGCCTATGCTGGTGCAAGGTGTGCCGTCCTGCCTGCTTGCCCCACCTCTCTGTTTTTAGATCAGGCAAAGCAGAAACAACCACAGCCTGACCCAGCCATCTGTTCTTCAAAGGCCCTGGTACTGGAATCTAGTTTTCACTCAGCCCACATTGCAATGGCACTGGCTCTGGAGGTTTCAGGCAGTGTGGCAATGAGTGTGGCAATTTTTTTTCCTTCAAAACAAACCTGGCTGTAGCCACTAGTATAAAATTAGGCTAAAGGTGGATCAAATTTGACTATTAGACCAAGAACTAAAATTATAGCACAGAAACTATATACGCATATATGGTATTTCCCAAGCACTCCTAACATTTCATGTTATAAACTAGCTTGACTTTACATACAACACACACACACACACACCCACACACACACACACATATACAACACACACACACACACACACACACACACACACACACACACACACACACTCGGAACCAAGCCAGTACAACAGTAACAGAACTTCAGCCTTTTCCTTGCTGCTCAGCTGAATAACAGAGTATCAGATGTTACCAGAAGAATTAAGGAACATGAAAGCTAATGAAGGAGGAAGGAAGGGAGAGGGATACGGAGAGGAGAGACAGAGGGTAAAGGTGAAGAAAAGAGGAAGAAGGAGAGGAAGAAGAAGGGAAAGAGGAAGAAGAGGAGGAGGGGGAAGAAGAGGAAGAAGAAGAAAATGGTAACTCCCACAGTCCAGGTAGCTATGGCAACTGCTTCCCCCGGGATGATTTCAAGTAGCCTCTGCAAAAATCAGTCATTATAAAGACTGTGATAGCCAAGGATGGAAACAAAACAGGCAGGGCCAAAACAATCTCCAAAAAATGAGTGGGGTGAAAGTGACTCAACTCCCCTGAGACCTAAGGTGGGTCCAGAGAGGCCTCAGAAACCCTTTTCTAAAATCAAGGTGACTTTGGCAAATAAAGGACCTAAAAACACTGCAGATGATCTCTGGCAAGCGTTCTTGACTCAATAAGGGAAGGAAATTAATGATCATACCTGTTTAAGTACACTTCTATCATCAGGCCCAGAAAAAAAAATGTTTTTTTAGTGGTACTGGCGATTAAACCCAGCACCTTCACATTGAGCTACATCTTTAGCCTTCTTTTAAAAATTTGAGACAAGGTCGTGCTAAGATAAGACTTCAACTTGCAATCCTCCTGCCTTAGCCCGCCAAATGCTGGGCTTACAGGTATGTGCCACCACACCTGGTGAAAGGAATTTTTGAAAACCTTTCCGACACAATTTTGCATAGAGGCTAGACCTCAAGATGCCCTCTCAGCTATAGTGAGCAGTTTTCCTAAACCTTCACTTCTGGTGACACACCATCTCATTTCTGAGGTCAGTCAGCCCCGAAGGCTGTCTGTCTAAACTCACTATTTTTTTTTTTTTTTTTGATACTGGGGATCGAACTCAGGTCCTTATGCTTGTAAGGCAGGCACCAGAACCACTGAGCTAAAACCCCAGCCCTCAGGGCTGTCTGTCTACATACTTCCAAAACAAAGATTCTTAACTTGGGGTTTGCGGATTCCCTATGGTACTCTAGGGTCCAGGAGGCCCCTGAAATCATACATGAAAGTCTGCGCATACATGAAGTTTTCTGGGGCAAACCTTCACAGCATTAATCAGATTTCAAAGGGCCTGTGGCTTAAGCAAGTATACAGCACTGCACTTAAAGATGCTCAAGGGGTCACCCTGCAGCCCATTCCTCACTCTGTTGGACCTCTGTCACCTAAGCTAGTCAGACTAATGCTCAACAAATATCCAAGGTGAGACAGACGGTTAATTATGGCTTTTATGTCTGGTAAGCACAAGGCCTACAACAAAAACCTACCAGAAATTTCAAAGCTTCTCTGTGCATTGGTAATATGGAGCTAGAAAAGAATTTCTGCCTTGCCTCCTTTGTTGGAAAGGGAACAGAGTAATGCAGAGGGCTGGGCTGAGGCTTAGCAGTAGGGCTCTTGTCTGGCCTGTGAGAGGCCCTGGGTTCCATCTCCAGCACTGAAGAAATATTGCTCAGCAATGCAGAGGGCTAGGTTGGATACCAGTCCACACTGGTCTAGAGTAGTGATTTTTTTTTTTTCATTAAAAAAAAAAAACTTTATTGGGAGAGTATTTTTAGACAAAGGAGGAGAATAAGAATTGGGGAGGGAAATAAGGGGATGAATATGAACAAAATATGCTAAATGCATATATGAACGTACCACACTGAAACTGAATATTTTGTGTATTGGCATTAATAATAGAGTAGTAAGTTTTATTTTTATTTTTATTTTTATTTTTTTTTTGCTTTTTGAGACAGGGTCTCACTATGTAGTTGAGACTGACCTAGAACTTACTATGTAGCCCAGGCTGGTCTTGAACTCACAGCGATCCTCCTGCCTCAGCCTCCCAAGTGCTGGGATTACAGGCATGTGCCACCATGCCCGGCTCTATAGAGTAATAAGTTTTATGGAATTAAAAAATAAATCCTCCCCTTCCCTGTTCTACTCTGTTTACTAACACAGGAGGAGGTGGAAAGAAGCAGGAAAAATGAGAGTTTTAGCAATACATACCTATGTCACTTCTCACAGCAGATAGTAATTTTCCTTGAAAAGTTGTACAGTTGGGCTGGTCAGGTCAGATCTCTTATTTAAATTAACCTAAAAGATGAAAAAAGATTGGAGGGTAATGTTTTAAAGAATTAGAAAGTAACTGTTTGGGCTGGGGATTTGGCTCAGTGGTTCCACCGCCTGCTTCACAAGAGCAAGGACCGGAGTTCGATCCCCTGTACCAAAAAAAAAAAAAAAAAGTAACTGTTTAACTGAAACAAAAACACTCTAAATTTCTCTGCATTTAATGTCGTGTGGGAAAGAGATAATCTGTTTTGTTTTTGAGACAGGTTCTCACTATGTAATCCAGGTTGGCCTCGAACTTGTTGTGTAGCTCAGGCGGGCTCATAATCCTCCTGCCTCGGCCTCCTGAGTACTGGGATTACAACTGTGTACTACTATGTCTGGTAAGACAATTTCTTTAACACATGTACCATCCTTGTGGTTGTTTGGCTACTTTTATGCCTCCTGGGGGAAGCACTGTCTGGCAGCCTCTCCATGGCTTCTAACATAAGTCATCTATCTTCTGTACTCCTTGTCCTAGATAAAGCCAACCTGCACCGCTTTTCTGTCTCACCCCCAAAGTTCCCTTCAGCAATGCCTAGTAGGACAGGAATTATATCTATGTGGCAAATGTAGTAACCGAGTGAGGCCCTAGGTCAAGACAGCACAGTCAGCTGACACATTCTTTCTCTCCCAAACATGTGGCCATGGCAAGAAAAATGTGAGCTGAGAAAAGCAGAAGGGAGAGATGGGCTCAAAAACAAGGTACTACAACAGAGTCAAGACCGAGCTGAAAGGAACAAGTATGGGGCTGCCACACCTCCAGGTCTGGGTCTGGACAAGGGTTCCAGAGGCTGACCGCGAGGGGCACTGGAAACAACAAGTGCTCACTGTGAGATGAGGAACCAGAGCCCTGAGACCCCTTGAAAATGTGCTAAAAAATCTATAGATTCCAAAGCAGCAGAGGAAGCCAAAACAGTAACATGAGGAGACAGCCAGTGTTTACGTAGTGCTATCTTCGAGCTCATATACACCAAGCTCTGTCCTTCATAATCATACATACTATTTTTTTTTTTTTGTACCAGGGATTGAACTCAGGACCTTGTGCGTGTGACACAGGCGGTGGTAGAGCCACTGAGCCAAATCCCCTGCCCAGTGGGAATACTAATTCTTAATCTTTTCCATGCCCAGTGAGGCAGATACAATTATTACCCTATTTTACAGATGAGGAAACCGAGGTCTAGGAAGTTTAAATATTTGCTCAAGGTCACAGAAGTGGTAGGTAGAAAAGCCAAGATTCACCCCTGGCTCCAGAGACTATGCTCTTAACCATCATCCTGTGCTACTTAAAAGCAAGGAAGTGAGAGAAGCAAGCGAAACAAACTGAATGCATCTCCCAAAGTCACTGTAAAAGCTGAGCTTGGGATTCAAGTCCTGCTTTTTTTTTTTTTTTTTTTTTTTTTCTGTACTCACCACAGCAAAATGATTGAAGAAAAAGCCAGTCAAAGGAGAGACTCGATTAACCTACTGGTAGAGGAAAAGGCCTAGGACAGACCCAAGATCCCAAACTGGCAGTACAAGAGCTGGTAGGGTATACCAAATTATCAACTTGTCAAGTTATAAACACCAGGAGAGTTCAGATAAAAATCCAGAGTTTTGGTTTCTCTTTAAAAAATTCTAAGATTTGGCAAGATGGAGCCAGCATTCCCACAGGGCAACAAAGAACAGGCCTGAGCAGAACCGCCCCTGTGGATAAGGCAGAGGCTCTTTCCAGTCCTTGGCACTGATCTTGCCACTCCCTTTTTATCTTCAACCCTGCCTTCTGGCCCACTCTAATTGTTTCTATACCTAAACAGGCCCTATCAGCACTGAGGTATGCAACCCTTTGAGAAAACTAAGGTCCCTTCTAGCCCTAGACAAGTCTATACTGACGGAATATTCAAAAAATGTTATTACTAAAGGTACAGAATCCCAATGATGAATGTAATTGTATTGTATACCTAGATTGTACCAATAAACTCAATAAAAAGAAAAAAAAAGTACATTAAACAAAAAATGTTATTAGTATAAGTGCAAATGAAAATTTATAGAAAAAAAAGGGGAAGGATAGAGTGGTAAAGGTTACAGGGTAATAAAATGTAGTACTTTTTGTGTTGATTGATATTGAATTATTGATTGAAGTCTACTTACACCTTTTGAGATGGCTTCAATAAAACACCCTTACTAAACATATATCTAGAGAGAGAAAAACTTGGCGATGTTGCTGACTGCTGATTCCAAGAATAAGTTTCCTCTTCATCCTTAGTAACAGAGGCTAGGATTGCGGAAAAAATAAAGAATTTGGAAAAAAAAAAATTTGGAGAAGAGCAACACACTCCAGCTTCTCTTGCAGCTAGGTGAGTCTGAGGGACAACATTCTGGCCAGTTGTGGAAGAGTTGGTCTATTAGTCAACCTTTTGTGTATGTGCCCAAATATCTGAAAAAAATTTAACTTAGTGGAGGAAGAATTTATTCTGGCTCACCGTTTCAAAGGTTTTGGTTCCTGGCTGGCTGGCTCCAAGGTACAAACATCACAGCAGAAAGGGTCTGGTGGAGGAAAACTGCTCACCTCATGGCAGCTGGGACACCAAGTGAGCAGGAAGAGAGCCAAAGAAAAGATACTCCCTTCAAAGGCAGACTGTCAGTGATGTACTTCCTCCAGTTGGGCTCCACCTCCAGTAGCCCACTCAGCATGAACTCATCAATGGATTGAACCATTGAGGAAATTGGTACCCTTATGATCCAATCACCTTCCAAAGTCTCCACTTTTGAATATATGAGATTTCTAGGTAACATTTTAGATCTAAGCTATAACTGTTTGATTTCTAGGAAGGCTCTTGAAAAGGCAGAGTTAAATTTTTGTCTTCCCTTTTCCCTTCCCACCTCCCTGGAATGCAGACAATATGAGTGCAACTCTGACAGCCACCCTGGGCAAGGAGTGACCTTGAGATCACTCTAGGAACTCCATAAAGATGACAGCAGAAGAGAAAGACAGTGATTTGTGTTCCTGACAATTTAGTGAAGCCATCATATCAGTCCTAGATCACTTGCCTCAGGATTTGTTTCACATGAGAGAATCATCTGCATCACTGTTATTTCTAGACCTTTTTATTCTGCAATTTCCAATGATACACAAGGAAATATTATATACCTAAACTGAAGTGCTAGTTATAAAGTACTGGCAATGACTCTTTTTTTCTATTTTCTAAAATTCATTATGATTCTAAATACTTTTGTTATTAGGGAAAAAAGGCTTTTAAAAAAGCTGGGGTTAGCTCAGTGGTAGAACATATGCCTAACACGCATGAGGCCCTACATTCAATCCCTGGCACTGCACGAAGAGAAAAAAGAAGAAAAAAAGTTCTAAAATATATTAATAAGATAAAAAAGTTGAAACCATGTTACAAGGAAAACACATATATCAACATATATAATGATTATGTGTGTGATCCAGCTTTGAATGTCTCTGAGCCTGTGACTGTCAGGGGAAAGAGGAAACTTAGCCAGACCAGTAGTCTCTCAATGGAATAGAAGCAGCAGACAGTGCTCTTGGCCCAGACACACAACATACTCAGTGGAAGGAGGGCTTTGGAAGCACAGAATTATTTTTAAAATATGTGTGACTTTATATAAGGGGACCTTGAGTGGTGTGATAGACAGTGTCCGCCTACAACTTTTTTTTTTTTTAACAGCAAATGCAGCAGATAATTGATGCAACCCTTGAAAAATGGCAAGGTTTTAAAATTCAGTTAAATTCCGAGAAGGCAATCCCAGGAGCAATTTAGGGTCACTGTGGCCCACCTATGCAGCTGGGATCCAGGACCTGAGCTGAGGAGCAGAGCAGCTCTTTCGCATGTTCCTGTGTCCACCTCCCTTGACTGTTGCTGGCTTAAGTACCTGAATACCTACTGTGTGTTAATTATCATGCAGGATGGCAATTAAGTGGAGTTCCCATTTTAACTGAGGAGAAAAGTTTGTATTATGGATATGTGTATTTAGAAACTTGGAGACAAGAATAACTAGTTAAGGAAAAAATAAAACAGAAGATTTATGGAGTAGTTAGATCTAGAACTGGGCCTCAGTGGATGAAGTGTAGGACTGTATATGTGTGTGTGTGTGTCCATATAATTGTGTAATGCATGCCTATCTAGATATTAATTCAGGAATAAGCAGTAATTTCAGAAGAAAACTCTTAACATTCACTTCATCTTACATTTCATTCTATGGTGAGCTTTCTTTTCTAGTCCAACCTGCCACTAAATATTCATATTCTGAACTTGTCCTACATATAACAAACTCAGACTGCACTGTATTATTTGGTGTGCCCCTCCCCGTTTCTAGGCAGTTGAAATCTGGTTGAATTGAGCACAAGTCAATCTACAAAGTCAGAAAAGCTGGTAGGCTAGGTATGTGAAGATGGAAAGTCAGGGTCTGCCCAGCCCACCCTGTCTGATTGCCACCTCAGGATACCTCGTGATACTCTGAGCTTTCTGTGCATCTGTGGGCGTAAACCTTGCACCCTCACCTCTCTTGTAAGTGGGATTTAGGCGCTGTAACTGATAGTTAGAATCCACCTGTAGTCTCTACATTAACAAAAGAATTCAGGACCTGTCCAATAGCTGGTCGTTAGAATAGCGTTAATGTTTCCCTGGTCTCTCAGGCATGCTCAACCAGTATTTCCACCAATGGTGAGGCCCCAGGCTGTGCCTCCATCACTTCCCACTGCTTGCTAGAGCCAAGGGCATCAGTTTAAGATGAAGGCACAAAGCAGGGGTGACAGCTCCAGCCTATGACTTGCAGGCAGGCTCGTTTAGCCTGCTCTGGCCCTTCCTGCCTGGTGACCTTGAAAAAGTCATTTAACCTTTGGGGCCCTACAGAACTCGTCTGTAAAATGAGCAGACTGGGCTAGAAATAGGCGATGCCAACCAAGGTCTCTTTCCGCTCAAACTGTCTGAGATTCTAGGGATAGAATTGCAGCTGTTGGCTAAAAAGCACAGGAAGAAATATCT